CATAGGATTTAGCTCCATTCCACTCTTTTTCTCCTCAAAATTTACTTTTTGTGATTGCTCAGCTTTCTCCTTTTCATTATAAATCTTCATTAGCGTTACCACTAATATCCATATGACAGAGTCTGTATACTAGGCTGTTTTGAGATTTCTTCTGCCAACAAATTAATCCAAAACTCTCCACTTTAGCCTCAGGCAAACTCTTTGGAAAAGGTCAAAGGGCAGCCACTTTCTTTACCAGAATATCACATGAATGACCTCTAGGCAACATACTCAAATTTTCCCTCTAAAACCTCGAGTGAGCCCTACATAGTTCAAATAACTCTTAGCACTGCTGTCTTCCATGCTCCTACTAGTATGTGTATGGCTCTTTAAGTAGTGTTTAAAGCATTCCACTGCTTTCCAAACCCAAAGTACCATAGTCAAAATTCCTCCAAACAAACACATAGGCCTATCACAGCAATACCCCAGTCCCTGGTACTAGCTGCTGTCAGCATCCAATTGGTAGCACTGTTTGGGACATTTAGGAGGTATGGCCTTGCTGAGGACTGGCTTTGAGGGGGAAAGGATTTTCTCTCTTTGCTCCATGCTTCCAGTCCAAGATTTGAGTTCTCAGTATCCAATTCCTACCACTCATTGCTATGCTTCCTGCCCTGTTGGACTCTTATCCCTCTGGAGTCGCCATAAAGTCTGCTGCAAGTTGCCTTGGTCATGGTGTTTTAGCACAGCAACAGAAAAGTAACTAATAGAACTCCCTGGTCTCGTCACTGTTGTACTTGATTGTGGCCTGAGATCACTTCTGATTCCCGGGCACTTTGATTCACTGGAGGCCACAGATCTATCCTAAATGAAATACTGTGAATAATTCCTAACTGGCTCTAAATTTAATCCGCATCCATGGCTTTCTCCTTGTGTTAGATTTTCTTTCTGTTCCGAACCATTTTCCCTAACTGGAAGGTAGTGGGCAGAATCTGCTCTTGTCACCTTTCTTTAAGGAACACAGGCCAAGTTCCTTTTCTGCTGTTTCCCACTTTAGGCAAGAGGCAGCTGCTAGGAAAAAGGTTTTATCTTTACATCTGAAAACAGCCAGATTCTTCTAGCATGTCAGAAGCAGTTGGTGACGGGCATAAGTTTGTTCTTGATGCCAAGAAGGGCTGACGGGTCTGAGTCAGGCTAGCTCCATCTAGAGGCTGCAGGGCACTGACAGCTGAGGTCCTGGGCTGGTTCCAAGTGGGTACTAGGTCACTAGAGAATAGAGTAGCCTGTTTGCTTTCTTTTTCTCCTCTTCCCCTCCCCCTCCTTTTGTTTTGTTCTGTTTTATTTTTTTAAGACAGAGTTTCTCTGTGTAGCTTTGGCTGTCCTGGAACTCACTCTTTAGACTAGGCTGGCCTTGAACTCAGAGGTTCACCTACGTGTGCCTCCTGAGTGCTGGGATTATGGACATGAGCCCTACCGCCAGGCACCCCTGTCTGCACACTGATCCTATCATTACTGTTTCCTGTTTCCGTGTACTGAGGCTGACCCCATGCTAAGCATGCGGTCAGCATCGGGTCCATACTTGCGGCAGCCCCACACCACCTCCTGTGATGATGCAGCCCATTCCTCTGGGAATGCTTCTGCTAGACAATCTCAGGCTCTAACCTGGGAGAGGCACGTCTGGTGGGCATGCAGTGAAGCCGGGAAACTTGTGTTTTCAGCAATTTTCTCAGTGGGGAAGACTGGTTGAAGAGACACTGCAGCTAATGGCTTATGCTCCCCACCACCCCCACCCTGCACACACACACACACACACGTTCCCAAATGTGTGAGCTCCGGTGTAACATCCATTCTAAGCATTTAGAGAAGCCCTTGGGAAACAATGCCAAGGGGATGTGTAGATGCATAAAAGGTGCCAGGAAACAAACAAACAACAAAAATCCAGTGCCAAGAGCCCTGCAGCTTTCTGGAGGGCTGGACTGAAAGCCACCTTCCTTCCCTCATCCCCAGGGACCCACCAGGACACCACCTGGACCCATCCCGGGCTCACCCGCTGGCGCCTGGCTTATTGAAGAACTCAGACTGTGTATGATGACTGCCACGGCCAGCCCCGGGTGTTTCTCCTCACACAGAGAAGCAGAAGAGGCTGCTGTACACAAAGCAGGCAGCCCAACATGCCACAACCTTCACACTGTCTGTCACAAAAAAAACATGTTTAAAGATGATACTTAAAGAGTGGCTCAGGGATAATTTAAGGGCAGACTGAGCACTTTTACTTAATGTCCAAACAAAAGCCAGTAGTGGGGAGCAATGGGATGGCTCGGTGGATAAAGGTGCTTGTCACTAACCTGATTTTGACTCCCAGGAGCCCACATGGTAGAAAGAAAACACACAATTACAAACATCCTTTGTCCTCTGTACATGCATCATGGTACACGTGTGCCCTCCCGTACACAAACTTTAAAAAATGGACTAGTAAGATGGTGGTTCCGTGGGTAACGGCACTTGTAAAGCTGATGACCTGAACTGGATCACTGGAACCCACGGTGGAACCAGAGAGCCTACTCCTGCGACGTGTCCTCTGACCTCCACAGTCTGCTCGCACCTTCATCGCCTCAGACTCGGGAAACTGCCTTTTATTTACAGCTAGCACAGTGAGCAGGCCTGGTAACAAGCGGGACTCAGACACGCCATTTGGGCTAATCTCATCAAGTAACACACTCCACAGCCGAAACTGTCCTCATTTTTCACATGAAGAAAATAAGGTCCCGAGATGGGAGGCACTTGCCCAGGATTCACAGTGAAGCCGATGCCGAGGCCAGTGACCACCCCCCTCGGCATCAGACACCATAGCTGACAAGCCTTGGGAGGAATACCTCTGCAAGGAGTGAAGCAGGGCTCAGCCTCGCCTCACTGAACATTTGTCCCTGCACATACTGAGCTAATAATTAACATGTTCATTTGCAACACCACCTGCCATTTCTTCTTCACATCAATGGGTCTGTTTGACCTGTTTATCAATCTATTTGGCTATCACAGAGCTAATACCATACTAGCTTAACTGCCACTTCTCTGTACACTGTGCCATGTGGGACATAAGTCTGTGAATTGGGGATTTCAGAACTGACTCAAGTTTAGTTCCACTAAACAGTAACTGCAATTTCATTTAAATTTATACATATAAATTTTTTGAAAATGAGTGTCTGAACATCAAATCTTCCTGTCATCATAACTTAGGTCTTTAATGTCTTTCAGTGATGCTTAATGTTATTCTCCATTGTTGTAAATTCCTTTAAGATTAAATCCTAGTGACTCTTGAGGAAGGAGTGTATTTTCTTGCTGTTACGTTTCTTTGTGGTACTGGAGAGTGCACCCAGGGAGTCATGCATGCTGTGCAAATACTCTCTCCCCAAAGACAGCCTACCCTAGGCTGCTATTAGAAAAGGCATCTTTTCTTGAATTATGTTTTGCTTAATGTATTGAAATGCCATTTATTTCTGCATAGATCTTAAATCTAGCACCTGTCAACTCTTTTGGACTTTTTACTAAGTTCTTTGCTCTTTCATCACTCTGGTGGGGCCCAGCACGTGGAAGGGAGGCAGTGACAGGGGGAGTCCTCACTCCACCCTGACCCCAAGGGGAGCACTTGACTGTCTCATCAATTACTGAACACAACACTTGCTCTTGGTGTTCTCCTGAGTTTTAGTTGGTTAAGAGTTTCTTTGTTGCTGTTTCTGTTAAATGAGTATCGAATGATACCTGTTTGGCACAATCTGTTTCATTTTTCCTTTACTTCTTAATAACTACTTGGGTTCCCTCACCTTCTAGAACCAAGAGATCCCTTTAATATTTAATGTTATGAACTTAATATAGAGACGACAAACAAGAAAGGCTTTTCCCAGTCCAGGGCTACAGCTTGCTTCTAGGGTAGCCTATGACTTGGGGGAGGATGGAAACCCTGCTCTGTCAGGGGCAGAAGTGCTCAGAAAAAGAAAACTCAGGGGCTTAGTAAATACAACATAGTTGCCAGACTTGAAAGGAAGCAGGGTCCGCCCCTCCCTACCATGCTCAGATACAGACAGTTTTGCCAGCTCCCTTTGTTAGACCCTCTCAGCCAGCCTGGGGATGGCATGCCTTTTTCTACTCTCAGAAGTGGAAGAACATGGACTAGAGAGCTGAGATGGCTTAGCAGCTAAGAGCACACACTGCTCTTGCACAAGACCTGAGTTTGGTGCCTAGAACCCACATTGGGTGGGTCACAACACCCTCTTCTGGTCTCTGAAGGCATCTGCACTCATACCCACACACCGACATATAAATACAAACAAGTATACAAAATTAAAGATAAAATCTTTGTTTCTGCTCCAGTAGAATACTGGAGAAATACAGTCTGTGTAACAGGTTTTCCAAATGGTGGGTTCCCACGTATCCTCATGGCCTAGTACTACACTGAGCAACTCTGCTGTGTGGGGAATCTTTGGTTTCAGGAGACTCAGCAGGCCATGAAGCTGTCTTCACTCCAAAGAGTTGTCTGGAAGCAGATATGGGCCATGGGGATAAGCCAGGACCAGTGAGAGGTGCTTCAGGGATCACAGAGGCTGATTCCACATGAGGAAGAACTTCCAGGTTGACTCTGACAGGAAGTGCTCTATCATATCACAGCAAATGAAGAGGCCATCAGCCAGGAATGTGGAGTGGAAGGATACTTGCCTGGAGTGAGGTCTGGGGTGAAGTGAGCTGCTAACAGATGCCTGGGTTTACTGGAGAGCCATGGAGATCAGGGTGTGTTTTAGTTTGGGGCTGCTGGGCTCACAGCATCATTCCATAGGCTTCTCTGCCCTTGGTGCCACTTGGCGTTCAAGCCTTTGATCTTGTAGGTGGACCTGCCTATTTCCCAAGAGCTGCCTTTATAAGCTGCGTGCTCCTGTGTATTTTGCAAACTGGCTCAGGTGCAGAGAAGGCATGAGAAAGCAGAGAGACCTCCAGAGTCCATTCGTATTTGTGGAGGGAGTATTGCACACACTACCTTCACACACCAGTGGGGCTTTATTGGTGGGACTCAGAACCGTGACAAACCCCAGCATGCAGACTGTGAGGGCTGGTACAGGTGCTAGGAGATTGCGATGAGAAGCCTCCGTGGGATTTGCTGCTCAGGGCCCTTTTCTCCTCTCAGTTCTTCCGGGCAAGTTTGTAGGAACATAATTCAGCATTTCACAAACTGATGGGTGACCTCGAAGATCCCCACAGACTCCTGAGCCTTCTCGTCATAGTCTGTCCAGTCCTGTGAAATAAGGCAGCATTAGCCTCTCAAGGCAGAATGGACAGTGTGGACAATGAAGACCCAGGTTCCAAAGCCCAATGCAGGCTCCGACTCAGCAGGTCACGACCACAGGAAACCCTTGACAGAACAGACAACTCAGGCCTGAACTCCATCTCCCAGTCCTATACCAGGCAAGTTTTCATGTTACTTCCTCAAACCCAAGTTCAGCCCTTGATTTATTTATTTATTTTTTCAAGACAAGTTTTCTTGTGATCTGTGGCTGTCCTGGAACTTGCTTTGTAGACCAGGCTGGCCTCAAACTCCTCTGTAGACCAGGATGGCCTCAACTCAGAGATCCACCTGCCTCTGCCTCCCAAGTGCCTGGATTAAAGGTTTGTGTTACCGTCACCAGGGTTTTGAGTTCTGCCCTTTATTTAAAAAGGGAGAAAAGAGACTTGAGAGTGAATGTTGAAAGAATGAAATGGAACATGGAAACATGCTTAGCACAGAAACCAGCAGTTACAAGGAGCCATGCTAATAGAACTGGTGTCCTTCCTTCACAGCTGGGACAAAAGACTTGTCTATCTGCAGGGCTGAAACAATACTATAGGTGATCACCACAAGTGCTTCAACTACTGCTCCCAGGGAGACGGGTTAGCCTCCTATGAGCATCTGTCCCAGGTTTTCACCAACAGGTAAAGTAAATAACTCTGTTTATGTGTTTAAGAACAGCATATTTCCTACATAGCTCACGGCCACCAGCACTGTAACTCAAGCCTGAATGAAGCTTATCTACTGTGCACGTCCCATGTCAAGCATGTTCAGCCTTCTCGCATGTACACACACGGGACTGCACTCCAGCACTGTACGTAGAGCCATTTAAATAGCAGGGTCACTAACAAGAAGCACCCAAATTCAGAGCTAGCTCTCCACTGAGAATCCCCGTTTACCAAAAAAATAATTCCTACCAGGTACCATATAGCACCTTGCCAGATCCCCAAGTCTCACCTTCTCTTGCAGATTGATGTCACTGAAGACTGTCCCTGACTCCACACCTTCAGCAGCAAACCCGGCCTGCAAGGGACAGGAAAAGAGAGTGAGGCTGGGGAAAGACAGCGCCTGTGAAGACTAGCCCAGGGCTGGGCTTGCTAGCAAAGCCTTCACGATGAAAGCAACTGCAGCATAAGCAGCGGCTCCTGACAAACCCGAGCTTCTAGTGACTCGCACTCCACGGTGTATCTAAGTTACAGCCCTGGCCTAGAAGACTGCCTTGGCTTCCTTCTGTTGCTGCAATATCATCATGATCCAAAGGCAGCTTGGGGAGGAAGGGTTTACTGCTGTAGCCCATGGCCCAGGGAAGCCAAGGCAGGACCCTGGAGACAGGAACCAGCAGAGGCCATCTAGGAAGACTGTTTCTCGCCTGCTTGCCTACTTTCCTTTCTCTTCTCTTTTCCCCCCTTTCTCCTTCCTTTCCCTTCATTATTTCTTTTTAGAGACAGGTCTCACTATGGAGCTCTGGTTGACCTGGAACTTACTATGAAAACCAGGCTGGTTTTGAGCATACAAAGATCCATCTGCCTCTGCCCTGCAAGTGCTGGAACTAAAGGCGTGTGGCCATGTCTAGCCTCAGCTATCTTCCTTATATATCCCGAGCTCACCTCAATAGGCAATCAGGACAGTTCTTCAGTTGAGGCTCCCTATTCTAGTGATTCTGGTTTGTGTTAACAAAAACTAGCCCAGAACAAAGGCAGGAGTGGGGTAAATTCTCCATCACCTCTGTCTGTTAAAGGACCTGGGTACACACTCCACTCTTCTCTGACTGAACCTTAGATTTTAGTTTTTGTTTTGTTTGATTTTTCTGAGATAGGGTCTTCTCTACACAGCTCTAGCTGTCCTAGGACTCCCTATGTAGACCAGGTTGTAAGAGTCAGACAGACCTGGGTTCAGTTTACAGCCCTCTGCTTACTAACTAAAGGACCCTGGCAAACCGCACTGTGGTAGTTTGAATGTATTTGGCCCCCATAAACTCATAGGGAATGGCACTATTAGGAGGTGTGGTTTTGTTGGGATAAGTATGGCCTTGCTAGAGGAAGAGTGTCACTGTGGGGACAGACTTTGAGGTTTCTTATGCTTAGGATACCATGCAGTGTCCTCTGCCTGCAAAATGTAGGGCTCTCAGCTCCTCTAGCACATCTGCCTGCAGGTCGCCATGCTCCCCGCCATGATGATAATGGACTAAACCTCTGAAACCCTAAACCAGCCCCAATGAAATGTTATCCTTTATAAGAGCTGCTGTGGTCATAGTGTCTCTTCCCAGCAATAAAACCCTAACTAAGACATGCGCAGTCTCTGACATTCCCTTGTATGACATTAGGATGAATCACTCCCTAGGGTTACAGTAAGGATGAAATGAAGTAACATGTAAAGGAAACAGGCATGGAGCATAGCATACAGCAGGCATTTAATAAGTGACAATTACTATTCATAGAATTCCTGGCTTGTGTTATAGCTCAGTGCTAACACTGAAGGGAAGAGTAAGATGGAGAATTCCTATTTCACAGTTTCTATAAGAAGCAAAGTTCTGTTACTACATTCCCTCCCCCGAGAGTCCTCTTAAAAATACAAACCTGGGGCTGGAAGTCAATTGGTTCAAGGCCACGACACTCAAACTCTACTATTGTCTTGAACTTCTCATTGTCTTCAGCCTAGAAAGGAAGCATATTGGGGAGGCAGTCCCAATGGGTCCCCAGGAGACCCATGCCCTCTGTCCTTTCTGCTATGTGGATCCTTACTGGACCCATGAGCCCAGAACAGGACCCAGAACAACTTAGCCCTTTTTAAAAGAAGCCTGACTTGGACACTGCTCCCAGGAGGACCTTCTGTAGGCGCAATTTCTGTAGAAGAAAGAGTAAGGGTCCTTGGGTCGGCCTTCCTGCATGTCTACAGAGCTGAGGAAAACCTACATGTTTATTGTGAGATCTGAATCACATAGAAAGAGCCGATCACAGTTCCATGAAATGTAAATGATCAGCACCCAGAAGACAGTAAGAATGTCATGTTCCAAAGGCTCCAGACCATCTGTATGCTCCAAGTAGGCATAGCATGGCCTTTTGCTAACCATCTACTATGCCATGAGGACAAGGGCTGGGAGACTGAAGAGGGTGCCTCTTAGGAGGTGGGTGGCCAAGAAACCCATGCCTACTTCACCCATGGGCTCAGTGACTACCCAGGACCATGCCCAAATTTTCAATCCACTGTACTTCAGGAAAACACTGCAATACCACGCAGTGTATGGTGGGCAAAAGATGGACCGAGCCAACGAACAAATAAGTACATTAAAGAGCATGCTCCCTGCAAGAAGGCATGGTGGCAAGTGCCTGTCATCTCAGCATTCAGGAGGCCAAAACAGGAGTAGGCTGAGGTTGAGCCAAGCCTGAACTACCTAGTGAGATCTAGTCTCAAATAACAACAACATCAAAAGTGTTAAGTACATGGGACAATGTCCAGTGGTTTGGCCACTCTGATGCAGCTACTCTTGAACCCACTCCTCCTAACCACCAGTTCAGATTTAATTCGACCACCCCAGTCACTACAGAAGGGAACTTACGTTGTAAGACTTGATGGTGCTGCTCAAAATTTCTGAAATACAAAAAGGAAAAGTTGACTTGAATCCATACCCACACTCCACTCAAGGAAAAAGAGCGAGCTGCCCAGGTTTTAGCACTTCAGCCCTGTGTCTACCCCGGACAACACAAGTCTGCTTCCAGTCAGCCTGGAAGAATCTGGCCATCATCGCCTGACCTACCAATGGAGTTTTCCCGTGCACACAGTTTGCACTTCTGGACCATGGAGGCACTGCCACGGCCACCTTTCAACGCCACACTGTCCTGACAAGAAACAAACATAACCTCTAGTTACGTACCAGCTAGATGCAACGGTCCCAGAGATCGCATCCCTGTTATCCAGTGGAAGAGACCAAGACCCACAGAAGTGAGTCACTTGCTGACAGATGTCAAAGAGGGTTGGGGTAGCTCAGTGGTAGAGAGTGTTTAGGATGTGCAGAGCCCTGGAGTCAATTCCTCAGCACACCTGGGGTGGGGTGGGGCAGCACCCTAAGGAGTCTTTTTGTGATTGAGAAAAAAAGGTCCCCCTTGATTTTGAACTTTGCCTCATATCCCAAAGATGCCTGTTGTTCCCAGTGCTGACTACAATGGTGCTTGCTCTCAGAAGTTACCAAACCAAACCAACCCAACCAACCAACCAACCCCAACTCTGCCCAGGAGTATGCGCGGTAGGGACTATTACCATCAGTCGGATGTATTGCCACTTCTCTGAAATCTCACCGCAGTTGCCACATTTCATCTTGGGGCAGAAAAAGAATATTAGTTGAGCAGTTGGCGTAGTTACAAAGACACCTCAGGAAGAGTGAGTACAGTTTAGTGTGAAGCAGGCTCATAACCACCACAGCCTTCTATCTATTTATTTTAGATAGGCTCTCGCTATGTAGCCCAAACTGTTTTTGACCCTGAGATCTTCCTGCCTCTGCTTTCGGAGTACTGGGATTCTGAGTGAGTACTGGGATTCTGAGTGAGTGCCACTATGTCTAATGTAGCCTATTTTCTAGGCAAGTCTTGGCGCATCCTACAACCAACCCCAAGGAGGACACGAGCAGACTTATCTCCAGTCAAGGAACAAGTTGTTTCTGGTGCTGTCATCCCTACCCTCTTCTAAAATACGTATCATTTGGCCGGGAAGTCCAAGTCACAGAGCCCCGAGCAACTGTGCCTAGCTAGGAGCTTTGCATTTAGGGTCCAAAGAGTGCTGGGGTTAAGCTTTCAGCATTTTGTTTTTTCTTTTCTGTCTCCTTTCTTATTCTATTATTCCTTCAAGTAAAAGAAGTTCATTTTCCAAGTGAGCCCTGGAACTCATGCTCTAAAACATTTGGAAACAGGAGCTGTGGATGCAGAGGTCGAGCACTTGTCTAGTACCGAGGGGATTAAATGGTAATAAAAGGATCATTAATGACTTCCTGAAAGGCAAGGCTTTGGATGGGTATGTGAGTCGCTGGGATAGGCTAGGAAAATAAAGCAGAATCTGGAACGTGAAAAGCCTCACAGTTTGGACCTCTATAGAGCACACCGAGACAAAGGGTGGTCAACTTTCACAATAAGATGAGCCAGAAAATAAAACAAGGTGAGTTTTATTCACCTTATTAAGTAATCACAAGATCCCCTCAAATAACATTTTGTTCAGTGTCTGTTTACACATCAAGAGCTGGGGAGACTACACAGTGGAAGAATGTTAACGTACGGCCCTAGATTCGGATATAAGCCCAGGACTGCAGAGGGGGAAAAAGACCAAGCCCCACCGTGGGAGGAGGTCGCCCATCTGTAATCCCAGCACACGGAAGGGAAAGGCAAAATCAGTTATCTTCTGCTACATAAAGAGCAGACTAGATTATATGAGACTGATATAATTAATAAAAATAAAATCTAAAATACCAGTCTGAAAAACCCACTTATATGCCTGATTAACTACCTCGGGACCCAGCACAAGAGAACTGCTCCCAGTTCTATACTGAGATCACGGCTTGGCCTGAGCCCTACGACGCCCACTGCCTCCCGATGCTCCTCCCTTTCCCAGGAGGGATCCGCCTTCCGCCTCACCTTCAGATACCACCGGAAGTCCTCACCCACTGGTCGAAGGTTGGTGACGTTCTCCAGCGTGGCTTTGAGCTGCAGCGCGATTTTCTGAGGAGAGGGCGGGCCAGGCTGAATGCACAGCCGCGCGTGCGCAGCAGCGTGCCCCGCCCCACCCCGCCCCTCCCAGCTCAAGCCCGGGGGCTTCAACGCGAGTTCACTCCTTTCACCCCATCCTGGTAGAGCTCGTGACTGTCGGGTCCTCGCCGCCTTCACCCCACCTCTGACTCGGCTACCGGACCCTCCGGTGGCGAGTCCCCTCCCCTTACCCCCATTGCTGTCTGGCCCACGTTATGCCGCTGTGACCTCTGCTTTCCGGCCCGTCGTAAAAGGCTGGCACCGCCGCGCAGCCTCAGTGCGGGTGGGCGGGAATCGGGGCGTTGGCCAGCCGTGTAATCCGCCGGGGAGAGCTTTTCTCGGTGGGTGCGCTGGAACCCTTGGAATTGCTAATGCCAGAGATAGTTCCTGCTTCTCAATTTGTGCCACCACCAAACAGGCAGGGCATTCTGGCTCGAAACCTCTGCTAGACCGCTCTAGCCCCTCGGTTTTCTTTCCGCTTCCTTACTACCCTGTGGTCCTGAGTCGTCTTAGGTTGCAGCCTCGTGGACTTGGCGTAGTGGTCCTCCGCTAAACTGCTCACTCGGTCTACATGCCGGATATGATGCTGCGATCTTTCCCACAGGGCTACACTGTGTCCACGTCCTCGTGGTCAGTGTCCGAAAACAGCTGGTTCACCCCTACGGTCTTATTCTATCGTATCTTTTCCCGACACTGCAGGAGCCCTTTGGCATCAACATTCGAAAACGTCATCCACTTGAAACTTTTATAACCTCGTCTTTGTTTTAGTTTTATGTGTTTGCGTGTTTTGCCGTTTTGTACATGTGTGCACCACATATGCATGCGGCTCCCGCCGAGACCAGAAGAGGGCACCGGATCCCCCAGTAACGGTTGACTGTGAGCCACCATATGGATGCTAGGAACTGGATTGGGGTACTCTGCAACAAGTACTCTAAATCGTCGAGCCATCTCCCCACTTGTGTCATTAAAAAAAAAAAAGTCTTTTTCATCTCAATAGTCTGGCATCCTGCCTTGTCAGATACAGATGATATCCCTAACTTGAAGCAGCAGAGTGAATCATGGAGTCCAAGAACGCTTTTGGGACATTGTCTAAGGTGGGAATGTCTCTAAGGATGGAAGTGTATTTAGGTCCATCATGTCTCTCAGACACATGAAACCTATCATGTCCCTTCTCTCCTGGTGCAATCTACCCAGCTACTCGCCTAAAGTCATGAAATTTATGTAACGGCAAGAGAAAACTATCAATCCACATGCTGAAGTTTTCCTTCACATTGAAATACAGAATCTGTTAAAAACAAACAAACAAACAAAAAAAAAAACAAAAAAAAAAAAGAAAGAAAAGAAAGCCTCACCACAATGCAGTTTCATGCCCAAGAAGCTAACATTACCCGGCTGTGAAATGTAGCCTAGTGGTGGAACACTTGCTTAGTATGTATAAAACCCAGTCTTACACGCACTATATGTAAACCCAACAGCCAATATTTAAATAATTTCTTTAGTGGTGTCAACTTTAGTTTTTTATCATGACCCAGTTAGGGTCAAACATTGTATTATTTTGTCTGCTTTAGTGGAGATAAAATCCAAGACCTCATGAATGGTAGGCAGGCACTTTTCTAGTTGATTTGTCTTGTAAATATCTAGGTTCCTTTTCCCTTGGAAACTGGGTGTGATGGCACCAGCCTGCAACCCCAGTACTTGGGAGACTGATCCCAAGTTCTAAGCTATCCTGGGCAGCAAAGACGAAGGGAGGCTCTCTGTTAAAACAAACTTGTCCCGGAATCTCCTTTCAATATTGCTGAGATTCCCAACTCCTGTTGTATTAAAAAAAAATATTTAGTATATGTGTGTACACCAGCATGCGCCCATGCCACAGCACAGGTGTAAAAATTTAGTCATTTCTTGCCTTCCACCTTGTTGAGGCAGGGTCCCTGTTTCTGCTGCTGGGTGCTTGCTTAGTCCAGGCTAGCCGGCCCATGCGGGTCTCAGGGATGGAGATGGTGGATGTCATGTCAGGCTTATGTAAAGCTAAAGCTTTACTGCCAGAACCATCTCCCTGGCCTCATTGAATGTTTGTGTTTTACATGAGAAATAATTCACACATTAGGTGTTTAGAAAAATAACAAAAAGTAGATGTTATCACATTTATTAAAGACCATCATTTATTGTTTATAAAAATTGCCCCAATATACAGAAAAAAATCCTAATTACGGTAACTAAAAATTCCCACCCCCTCATGTCCACAATATCCAATCTAGATTGGTTTAATCTTGAAATGTAATCCAATAAGGCTGAAGACTAAACACTTCAGGTCCTGGACAAGATAATAAAACACTCTTAAGCCTTCCGGATCCCTAAAATACAAAAGAAAATAAAGATGTTTAAGAAGCAGAGGAAAATTGGCAAATAAAATAACCCTGATTACCACAAAAATGTTCCTTATGAAGGTATTTACAGTAGTAAACCCCGAGGAAGCACATGTCCACTAAGAAGGAAAGGGTCACTTATTAAAATGGAGTAAGTGTGCTGTTTTTACTGTAAAAAACATAAAACCAAGGGGGAAACCATGATTTCTAAAACAGATTCTGTCTTATGCTTTTTAAAAAAAGTTGGAAATCTAGGTCAGTGGTGGAGCAAGGCTCTAACCACGTTCAATTCCCAGTACCGCAAACAAACAGCCACCCCCTCCCGATTCTTTGTGACTAATAGATCCCATTCCATGTTATAATTCACACCACTGACAATATGAATCTTTGTTTGGCCTTAATTTTCTCTTCGGTTGCTACTATGCTTTCCTCAGTGTCAGAGAAGCAGTAACTGAATGAACCACCACAAGTAAAAGAAGCAGCCTTTGAAAACACAATTGGCCTGAATCCATAAGCTATGCATTTTTGGGTTCAGCCATGAATGAAGACAGTCAGGTTCATGAAGTTCCCAACTATCATATACATGTTCAGATGGTTTTCATTGCTGTTATTTCCTAAATCATGTAACAGATATTCACACAGAATTTGGTTTTATAAAGATGATTTAAAGTATATGAGAAGTACACAGGCTCTGTGAAAATATGACACTATTTTAACTAAGAAAATTGAGCATTCAAGATTCTGGTACCAAAATTCCTGGAACCAACCCTCCACGATACTGAAAGACAAGTGTAACCTGAGCCCTATGAATGAGGAGGACCATGCTGACTTCTGTCTTGTGTCTGCACCACATCTTTCTATGCTGGCCCCATTTGACTGACATTTTCTGTCCTTCCTTCCTTTCTGTTTTTTGTTTTTTAAGACAGGGTTTCTCTGTAGCTTTGGAGCCTGTCCTGGAACTAGCTCTTGTAGACCAAGCTGGTCTTGAACTCAGAGAGATTCACCTGCCTCTGCCTCCCAAGTGCTGAGATTAAGGCATGTGCCACCACCCCCCAGCTGACATTTTCTTTTTACTCTCTAACAACAGACACTACTGGATATAAATATCATATATACTTACTTAGACTGATTGACATCAATAAGGGAACCAATTTTTGATGTTGTAAAAGAAATGTGTTCGTCGCCAATGACAATTTCAAGCTCCTAGAAACATTAAAAAACAAAACAAAACAAATCAAAAACAAAGACAGCACTGGGTCATTAATCAAGCACACAGGACAAGACTCATTCAAACTCTGATATTCATGCTTGTATCCACCAAGCTACCTCTCCAGCCCTTTTCTTCTTTTAAAATAATTTTTACTTATTGGTGTGTGTGTGATGTATGCATGTAGGCACAAATCTCAGGGTACATTCTAGAGGTCAGAGGACAGCTTATAGGAGTTTCTCCTCACACCTTTATGTGGGTTATGGAGAATGAACTCACGCTGCCAAGTGTGGCAACAAGAGCCTTTACCCACTGGTCCATCTTGATACTCCCTACTTTATTAAAAGAAGCACAAGTTATACCTGTATCCCACTCTATACTTTGGCATCCGCTAAAACTGGTGTGTATTCCTGCCACTTGCTTTTCCAGATTTAGCAGCATACTTTTAAAATAAATGGCCATACCTGGTAATATATACATATATTTCATTCCATGTTTTTTCTAGGATTTATCCATGTTGATCTACTCAACAATTTAAATGCACTGAATGTGCTGTTTCCTTACTGAAGCAGACTTAAGTTCCCAACTTTTGTTAATAGACATGATGTGGCAAGAACGTTCTAGGATTTGGGGCTGAGGTCACAGTAAATATCTGTGCTAGTCCTGGAGTTGGGTCCCCAGCTCCACCAAAACTAAGTATTTTCCGCTCTGCCAGCTCCTATCCAAATGGTTTCCTAATATGGCCACACTGGTACTTTTTTTCCTGCCATAGGTGTATGAATTCTTTCTATACTTTTAAAGAGCCTGGGTGAAACTTTAGAAAATGTGATGTCCTGGGGCTGGAGAGATGGCTCAGTGGTTAAGAGCATTGCCTGCTCTTCCAAAGGTCCTGAGTTCAATTCCCAGCAACCACATGGTGGCTCACAACCATCTGTAAAGAGGTCTGGCGCCCTCTTCTGGCCTTCAGGCATACAGACAGAATATTGTATACATAATAAAATAAATAAATATTTAAAAAAAAAAAAAAAGAAAATGTGATGTCCTAATTTTTGCAGGTTACAAATGCACCTGTAAATCTGTACAATATTTGAGTTCAATGTTTGTTCAATGTTTGAGTCTATAGACTGTCTATTTATATCCATTGTAACATTTTGCCCCCCACGTCGGGTATTTTTTTTATTGCCTTATATTTCTAGATATATTCTGTAGAGACACTCCTTGTTAGATATATTTTCCAAGAATCTTCATCCAGTCTGTGGCTCTTTTCAACTTTATTTAGATGTCTTCGGTAAAACAAGTTTTAAGTTTAATGAAGTCAAATTTACAAATCTTTTCCTTTAAGAAGAGAAAGTTGTCTTTGTTTTTTGAGATGGGTCTCACTATGTAACTTTGGCTGGTCTAGAACTCACAGAGGCCTGCCAGCCTGTTTCCGATGTGCTGAGACTAGAGGCATGTGCCAACATGTTCAGCACAATTTACATTGTCAAAGAACCCCCTGGCTGGAGGGTAGAAACACAGAACCCAGAAGAATGGAGTAGAGTAGTAGCAGTCGAGGTAGAATTATCTTTTATTTTTTAGTTATTGAAAAAGTAACAGTGCTGGACAGCTGGCTCCGTGGTTAAGAGCACTAGTTGCTCTTCCAGAGGGCCTGGGTTCCATTCCCAGCACCCACATGGGACTACCGGTTCTCCCTCCTGCCCCGGTGTCCCACAGAGCAGCGGTCTGCATCTCCTTTGTAAGAAGTACAGTCAGCAGAGCACTCACCTGCCGGCCTACTCGGT